AGTGGGTGCGGCGCAGGGTGTGGCGGTGGCGGCGGCGGCCGCAGCGGCGTCGGCCGAAGAGGCGGAAGCGACGCATGGAGCGGCGCAAAACGACGTGCCGTCGGCGGACGGGGGTGCAGCAGCTACGACGACGGAGGCGGAGCCGGTGAGGATGTCGTTGATGGACCTGTTGGAGGAGACGGACAGGCAGATGGGGCTGGAGTCGAGTTACACCATGGATGACGAGGATGAAGAAGAGTACGAGGAGGAAGAAGAAGAGGAGGAGGAACAGGCGGAAGTAGGGAAAATAGAGTATAATTGCTGCGTGTGCATGGTAAGGCATAAAGGTGCGGCATTTATCCCTTGCGGTCACACGTTTTGCAGGATGTGCTCCAGAGAGCTCTGGGTGCAGAGGGGCAATTGCCCCCTCTGCAACAATTTCATCTTGGAAATTCTCGACATTTTCTGAAGAAGAACCGAAAGAAGTCCTTTTTAATTGGTGTACAACTTTGAACTTCTCTCTGTTTCACTCCACCACTTTGTTTCTTAATTGGAGTTATTAGAAACAATTTTATTTTATTTTTGGTTTTTTGTATATTTGGTTTAAAGTTTTTACTTGATGTATCAATAGTTTCAGACTTTCAGTGAATGAATGAATGCCTTCTTTCTGGGCTATTTTCTGTACATAATTTATGATAACCTTGGGTTTGGGTAGAGCTCATTTGGTGCTTAATTGCTAGAATTTTGAATTTGGATTAACCTAACAATCATAACATATCCCAAGTTACCACATTTATAAAGCTATCCAAAACAAATATTACAGAAAGTGAAGATTTTGCTGGTTTTGTGATCTTATTTTCTAAGCAGCAACAGGGCAAGGAGGTAAAGAATTGTGGGGTTTGCCAACGGGTTCTAACCCACAGGTAAAAGGCCTTAATTTGCAAACTAGAGGTTTCAAGTTCGAATCCCCACAACATCTTGATTGTGTGTGAGAGAGAAACCTCCCTCCCATGTAGTTTGTACTCCAAAATAAAGAATTGTGGGGTTTAATTTAGCCAATAGTCAATTACATTAATTTTGGTCAGAGCACTAGCACAGATGGTGGTTGAATTGAATCATTACTAGCATACATTTTTACCAGAACCATATGTATCAATGTCACATATTTGTTTTGAAGTTTATCATAATACAATTGAGATGTATAAAATGCGATTTATGATTTCACATAAAACAATGGTTGAGTTCATCTTCTTCTGCTTCTCCTTTACATATAAATGTATACAGGAAATGCCATCCTATTCTTTTTGCACCTATAACCTCAGAAAGTCCTTTCCTATTCGTAACTAGATATGGTCAATTGGTTTAAAGACTTGAGAAAACCAGAGTCAATTTCCCAGCAGGGCAGCAGTACAAACTAAACGTCAACAATCCAACTCTTTAACACCTGGCGGACATGGCATTTGTCAGGTTGCCTCACTATATAAATTTGATCTCCCACTTTGTTGTCGGCATCCTGGTTCCGGTACCATGTCCATAGAGCCCAGGTCTCATTCTTCACCTGCAAGTTATGCAGGTTGCAATCCATGGTTAGATTATAATTCAGGTGGTGAAACTGAGCCGTATGTTTGCAACACAAAACCCATCAAGGATATTCTAGTCACGGATAGGATCAAGGATATTCTAGTCACTAGGATTACCTATTACTGAGTGAAGAAATCTTGTATGGTTACTGAGAATGGTCTTTATATGCACATTGACTTTCAAGCACGTACTCATATTTCCATCAATAACTTTTCAAGTTGTATTATATGTAGGGTCATAGAAATTAAAGCAAAGCTTTTGTTGCAAATTGAATGTACTCAGACAATTCTCAAACTGAGAGACAGAGAAAAAAGAGTACCTCAAGGATCCCATGACCAAAGCTGCTTTCTCTGAAGGCACTGTAATCCGGTTGCCGATCCCAACAAAATTTACCTGCGGCTGGGCCGGAGGTAAAGTTTTTTGCACAAAAGCCACCAATGTATTCATCAGGAGCAGTTGATGGCTCTGGGCAATTACCAGGTTCATCAGCATATTTAACTGCCATCTTCTCCCGATTACCCCCATCACCAACAGTGAGATATACAGGGCCACAGGGATCTAAGTTGTAATTATATACACGATTTGACCTCTCATAGGCATGAACCTATTATTTTATTCAAAACACAGAACAACCTTCAGTACACTTTGAAACAGTTAAACTGGGGAACATGAATTCATCAGTCTCAGAAAGCAATGAAAATCTTAATGAAAACATGCAGGGGATGGGAAACAAATGCTACTGTGGTGAAACTAGGTTCAAGATAATATCATTAGCTCAAGATACCAAAAAGAAACGGCAGAGTTCCATTTCTTCATGTAAGCCATCAGCAATTATTTGCTACTGATAGCATGTAAAATAAGTTCTTGCATGTTTCAGCTGCACCAGAATCCAATAACAATTGACTTCACCTTATACTTTGTTTTCTCAAAAGTAAAAAAATTAAAATGCAGTTGTTTCTATCACTATCTGGCATACAAGAAAACCCCAATCAAAGGGCCCCCCTCCACTTCTTCATATAGTTTTTAACTATTAGAATGAAACATGTTACCTTATATCAGAGACTATCCTAATAATCGGTTATCATTACTTACATGTCCATTGAACACTATATCAACTCCATAAGAGTAGAGCAACTCTTCCATTTCCAACCTCATACATTCTGCCTCTCTGTAATGGGCCTTATAAGTACTATACCAGGGTGGATGCCAAGTCGCTACCAGCCATGGAGTTGTGGATCTGTCCACATTAGCCAAATCTTGCTCCAGCCACTTGTATTGTTTCCCTGTAAGGGGAAAAAACATGTTAAGTAATCACTGTATGGGTGGGGAAGGAAAGAAATAAGAAAATGCAAAAATGGGGATATTTAGGCAAAGCATGAGCTAAAAAGTTATGCAGACTTTTATTACCTGATCTTGTAAAGTCAATGTAGGCTCCAAGCATAATAAAATGAATCCCCCCTGCATTAAAGGAGTAATAGAATGTGGATGAGGATCCACTTTCTTCAGATGGGAATGCAAACCGAGAACTATAAGCCACAAATGTCTTATTTTCAGCCTGTTCTTCTATTTCATGGTTCCCTTCTATCACCATTATTGGAACTTTAGAAATTAAATTCTCCATAAACCTACACAAATTACCCAGCAATGGCAAGTTGGCAACATAAGAAAACAAGTTCCATCAGTCATACTTTACGGAAGTCATTGCATGCGGTGGAGAGAAAGAAACTTATATTTTACCTTCCCCAGTAATCCCATCGAGGCTGATAGGTCTCGTGTATTGGAGAGTGTGGAAATGAGCAAGAATAACAATCAGAACCGGTTCCATTCGTGAGGTATAGGTTTGCATAAGTAACATCACCAATCAATAGAACAAGATTAGGATCGTTACTAGTCAAGTGACTAATTGTGGTAGTTGTGTTGTAAGTAAGGCCAAGGTCCCCCACAACTGCTATTCTCTCTGGGTAGCTCCACGGACCAGAAACTGGCATGGTCCTGAAATGGTAGATTTCGCTCATGGCCGGTATAGAAGGATCTCCACAACGATAAAAATACAATGTATTCGGTTTCAACCCTACACAGAATCAGAAAGTATATCACCAACTTACTAGAAGAAGCACACCTTGATGAGGTCATAAAACAACATGGTCATAGATTTTTGATATATCAGCAGTACAATCATTTTTCATCACAACTTACGTTTGCGGCAGTTAAAAGTTCATTCAGCCAAAGTTGAAAGAACCCAACTTTGTAAATGTGCATTAAAACTTAAAAGCAAAAGAAGAAAATCGAAATGAAACCTGTAAGACGAACATGGTGGATGATCCCAGAAGTGTAATTTTGGAGACCTTCAAAAGGGTAGAGCTGATTGTAAACAAGAGAATATCCTGTTGCTTCATGTGTTGGTGGATATCTCAGCTTCCCATAACGAACAACACTTGCCACACTTTTGGGGTCCAATGGCTTTATGTTGTAGCCAATTTGCGATTCCCCTGCCACAAAAATTCATGAACAACCCAATTGGCCAAAAATAAAAAATCAAAACTTTTCAATTCCAAAGCCAAGAAATTCCATTTACGATAAAGCTTAAAGCTTACAGCTGTAAACCCAAGTACAAAATCAAAAAATAAAACAAAACAAAATAAAAACCTGTAACCCAGGAGATCCAAACAGAGTCGTAATTGGCTGAAAGCGAAACAGAAATCTGCTCAGGCTCGAAGCCTTTAACTCGGCGGCGAACTCGGTGATCGGACTCGGGCAAATCGACGGCGTTGCCGCGCAAACTTTGATCGAATGGAATAGTGACGGGCTCGAACGGACCGTCCAAAGTGGTGGGGATTCGGGCCTCAACGGGCCAATAGCAACCCAACACCAGCACAACCAAACATGTTATTGCAGCAAGTGCAGGAACAGACGAGGACGAAGAAAATGTCATTTCTTTTGGGGAAGAATAAATGGCATTTGCTTTATGGCTTATTGTTCTTCTCCATCGGAAAACAAATATACAGAGTTGCAGATAACGAAAGAAGGGAATATTTATGATGGTGACGTAGAGAAGAATTCTGTCTTTTGCAGCCAAAAGTAGAACACTTGCTTTTCTTCTGGGCTTGCTTTTGTTTCTCCTGGTTTTGGGATTTATATATAACTTCTCTGCCCAATTGTCCCACGTTCCCGTCCTCTGTTCTTTGATAACATATACTATCTCCTTGGCATATGCTACCGTATATGCCAATTGATTTTTTTATTTTATTATATATTTCTTCTTAAAGATTAAGAAAAAATAATATGGGTAGTTATGTTTCATAAAAATAGGGTTTTATTTTAAAGATTAAAAAAAAATAATATGGGTAGTTATGTTTCATAAAAATAGGGTTTATTATTTGATTTTATTTTAATTTTTAATTTTTTTAAATATAAAAAATATGAATTTACCATATTATTCTGATATTTTGAATGTTTCACAATCCTCTGCTTTTTGCTTTATATATATAGATGCACACAAGTTCTAAAACGTCCTAAAAATGACAAAATTGGAGGACCCCTATTAAGCCCCCTCTCTTGAAGATATACTCCATTTCGATAAATCTTGACGAAAAAAATAGTTTCAATATGGATATAATATATATATTCCCCGAATTTTCTTTTTCTTTTTTGTTACAAATGAAGCCAAAGTTGACCTAAGTAATGTTTTATATCTTAAAGTCTTTGTGTCATTTCATTTTCGTATTCAACTTAAACTCAACATGTTAGTTTTTCGAATCCAAATTAACTTACTCTTTTATATTTTTTGTCAATCAATCAATCACTGAAATATAAAATGTTGTTATTATTTTTCAGGTCTAGGCAAAAGTAACTATGATGACTTTAGGTGTGGGAAATATTTTTTCTGTGAGTTTTAACTAATTAAAAACTGTGACATTAATCATCAATAAGAAATGTATTATCTATCTCATGAGGACTTAGGGGCTGGGCCTTGGAGGGATGACATTAAGGTGGGTTAAGATTTATGGGCTACAAAATAAACTTAACAAATTATTATTATAGTTGGGGTTGGGTGGGTTAGCCCTGTCTAGCCAACTTCTAATTGAAGAGCTCTAACTTTTTTTCAAAATTTGATTTAACCCAAACTTTTACCAAAGCGAATTGTGTTTTCTGGTGGTTTGGCGGAGAGATAATTCGAACTTGATATCTCAACATATAAAATAAAGAAAAATATCAATAATGAGTTGATGTCGATTGTTATTCGCCAAAATATGTGACTCGCATACATAACTATATTTGCTAAAAGTTTAGAGACTAAAATGAATACAATTAAGGGGAATTACTAATTAGTGAAATTTGTTAGCATTGATTAATCTGTCATGAGTGGATTATGAAAAGATATGCCAGGATCAATGAGCTTGAGGTGGAGCTTAGATGCATGCCTTAGATTAGAATCCAAGCCAGATCTAAAGGTCATTGTTTAGTGATATTATAATCACGTCCATGGACTGAAAACATTTTTAATCTTGACCACTCGGATCAACGCACTTATTACACTGTCAATGTTAGGCCACGATAGGTAGGGTTAGGCCAAACGCCAGTCATTTCCAAATATTCCCAAGCTTAACTTTTGGCTAATTAATTTGTAAAGTTAACAGTCTAATAATTCACTATAAACTTCCCAACGGGGTCTAGTCCATTAAAAAATGAACTTGACTTAAATGAGAGGTTTTCAGGTTTAAACCTCTATGACATGTTGGTAGTGCGTGTGTGAGAAACTCTCCCTCATCTTCTTGTAGTTTAGATTATTACTTGTATTATAAAAAAAAAAAAAGCACTCTAAACTTTTTTCTTTTAACCTTTTGCTTTATAAAACTTTTTTAACCCATACAATTGAAAGTGGAAACATGTAAGACTGATGCAGAATACAGTGTGGATGTCTACTTTCAGCAATGGTTTGCTTTTCCTCTTCCCCTTAAAGCCTGCCACAAGCAAGCATGCTCTAACTTTGTTTTCATTCCCAAGGAACAATGCTTGGATGTAAGGTCACAATAGGCTCTCTCTAGGTCTAACAAGCACATTGTATTCTGTATCAACTTGAACGTTTTATACATAATTAGAATATAATCTTACAAAATCCTATCCATGAGAGAAGCCCTAGCTAAAAAACAAGTTTTTAGGGAAAGCCATTATGTATAAGAAAGATTTTCCGAAATACACAAGGCAAGGGCTATGAAGTTGGTCTAGTTATATGTTCAAACTACAAAGAAAGGCTCAGAAGAAATGATGCCTTTAACGCATGCAAAATCAGATAAAGTCTGCATTTTACATTTCATCTTAAATACACCTTTCAGACATCAGATTCAAATACACAAGTTTTGCATATCATGGAATTCCTGAAAGCATTACCAAGGTTTTTGAGAAACCAAAATACAAGAGTACCTAGTAGACTTTGAGATTCTCAGTCATACAATGTATACAACTGCTACTATATGACACCTAGAATATTAACTCGGACACATAAACACTTCACTGTGATTTATGATTTCCGAAAACAACTCCAAAAGAAGAAATAAAGATTAACTTCTGTACCTGACTGCCCTAGAATATTACAGGAAAAATTCATCCCGAAAAATAGCGGGCAAAGCAGAAGAGCCGCAAAATGGGAAGTTTGGAGTAACACTTATCTACTAACTCTTAGCCTTTGGTTCTCATTATTGTAATGCTGCCTTTCCCACCTTCAGTGCGAATTTTGGTTTTTCCAACGACAGGCTTCCCCGAAAAGGCCGAAGTGGGGTAAGCAGCAGGGTCTTCATATTTTTGCTTTGATTTTGAAGGAGGTGGAGTGCGGATCCGCTGGTTTATGTCCTTCAGAGTTACATCTCCATGAGCCCCAGAGGGTTTAATGAAGGCAAATGGATATGCCACAGAAGTAGCTAACTTAGTGGGAGTCCGAATGTAAGACTTCCTACCTATGCACAGAAACAGAGAGCCTCGAGAACTAAGTTTTTATTTCAATAATTTCATAGCATAATTTATAGTGATCCAGGCAAGGAATCCTGGTGTACCTGAGTACAATATAACCTCTAGATTACATACAGCAGAAGAATCCTTCTTTTTTTTGGTATGGAGAGAGAGAGAGAGAGATTATCTAACAGTTCAAGTATAATTGATAAAGTTGAGGTGCAATCAAAATACGGTTTTTGGGGATGGAATTTGTGGCGTCAGCCTATAGGGTTTATCATTTTTATCATTTCTTCCTAGCAGAAGTGAGAGATTACCTTTTGATTTACCATAAGCAGAAGAAGAATTAGTAGCAGGTTATTAAACTGAATACTCGGGTATAAAATTTGGTGAGAGAGAGAGAGAGAGAGGGAGAGAGAGCATCTTTAATATCTCTTGACTTTTAACATTATCCATGGCTTCCTTATTGTATTCGAGTTACCTCAACAAGAAGTTGCCATATAGTCGTGGGACAACTTTGAGAAAGGTTGGGGAGCTCTGATTGTTTGAGTACATTTTCAATACAGGAAGATAAGTCAAGAACATGGAAGTACCTTTAAAAACAACATTTCGAGGTGTTCGGGTGACTCGCTGTTGAATCACATTTGCTTCATGCTCAGGTCGGACGTCACATAACTCTGTAACAGAAAATTGATTTATATACTTAATTGAAGGGTAAGGATATACGGGAAACAAATGCAAAAATACAAATTTCATGAGAAGAACCAATGTAACGTACTTGCAATGTCAATTTGAACATCAGAAGCCCCAGAGAAATTCCTGAGTATTAAATAATAAAGCAATCATATTATTGTAAATGACTGATTGAATTGTAAAAGATACATATAGAGCTTCCAGAGGCATACAAATCATCAGGGCTGAAATGCATCTCGGTATCATTGAAGCATTCGGCAATCCACTCATCAGGTGACTGCTCCAGGCACTCATAGCCAGATGCAGACGCATTTTCTAACACAAATGATATTGTCATCAGAAAACCCTGGGAATAAATGTTCAAGTAAATATGGCAAAACATATTCTAGAAGAGACAAACCTGAAAACCCCGATACCCATTGTGATGCTTCAGATAAAGCCTCTTCAATTGAATCAGCACTCTCCTAAATACAGAGCAGAAAAATAAGTCTATGAAAAATCCATGGAACATGAAATATGCTGTTTATGTACTGAAATCTTGTCTCCAAGGAATTCAAGTTCCTACTTTTGACTTCCAAGGCATACAACTTGAAAGTCCCTTATCAAAGTACAACCCATAGCTAGATTACCGGAGAAACTGCAGTCCCATCAACATTGGTACTCCAGTCTAGCATAAGAAATAACATATGCAGCACACCAATTTGACATATTTACCACAAATGAATGGCAGATATGATGCAACAGTCTTTTTCTAATGAACAACCATATCACTATTGCAATGCAGTAGTAGCATTGGGATAGAGGAAAATATGCACTAACTGATCCACATGACAAGTTCAAGAGTAGTTTGGCACGCAGCCAATGAACAATACAACATGCATTGCATATGTTAAATTTCAGACAAGAAAAGAGATACTCAGAACAGACATTTGATTTCAGGAATGAAGATGACAACTCGTCACATGAGAGGGAAGGATCAATAGCTTGAGTGTCAAATTGTAGCATCCGTCGCCTCTTTACTTGTGAAAAAGACTCCCTTGGTTCTTCTGGTTCCTTGGTCCTATTATCTGAAATCCACTTCTTTGATATTAAAACAACAAACATAAAGGGCAGTGTTCTGAATTGCACATACAAGAAAAGCAAGAAAATCTCAAAGAACATTGAGGAGGAGAATAACAAGGAAAACCAACCTCTATGGTTAACATGATAGGCCAAATCCCCACAAGCCTTAACTGGTGTTGTTTCATCATCAAGCATGTACGAAAGATCTTCTTCATTCTGAGGCACTCCATTCCACAGGTATTCAGGCATGTCTGCTTAAAGCAATAGTACCAAGCAAGAAATCACTAACTCCATTCTAGTAATAACAATTTATTAGCAAATTATGAACTGTGGCGAGAGCGCACCATAATTGGAGTTCTTTGGGGTACTATGATTATTCCTTTGCCAATCCCAGTTCTCACTATCATCATTTCACACAGTAGGAAATAAAGTAAAATGAGGTCAGAAGTAAGAACTCATATGCTTGAAACAACTGAAAGGAAAACCACAAAACTACCCCCATCTCAAGTATGAGCCACAGTGCAAAGTTTACACAATGTGCACGATTTCAGGTTCCAAAACTACTACAAAACTACTAATGTAATACAATCAGTTAATGTTTAACATACATTGTGAATCTCTTCTTGTTTTTTATTTCTAATTTTTTCTCTGTGTGCTGGTTGATTCTATAAAGATGGAAAGAAACAAATCAGTGAGTAGAAGATCAATGTAATCAACAAAGCTGCCAAATGGAAATGTAACCAAACAGTAAGCGGCAGCACCTACAAGTAAAGCAAACCAAATGTGTTTTGTCCCAAAGAAAAAAGAAAAAGAAAAAGAAGAGTAGGAAAGGAACATCTGATCCAATTCTAGATGCTAAACATATATCAATAAATGTATACTTCTGTAATTAAGATCTGGAAGGATAAATACAGCTAGAATAGAAGGATATCATAATCTATATTGGGGCATTTTACTTTAACACAGTACCAAAAAAAAAAAAAAAAAATCAGCAAAGAAAAAAGCAAATAAAAGCACAAAACCATGACCCACCAAGTGAATCAGAAAGCCCACATCATCCTCATTTCAGCCTTAAAGTTCCAGATGAATCATAATCATCTCTAAATAACTAAAAACCTATGTCAAAATTGAAGCAAACCCAATTTGCAGAACCAGCATTCGATCCCCCAAATCATAAGGGAAAATGCAAATAACTAAATAAAAAAGAAGGGGCAAAATCCCAGTCTACATTGCCTCAACAACCCCAAAATACACAGAAAGAAGCAAACTTATCACAAAAACATCGATTTCCAAACGAACCCAGTAGCCAAAAAGACAGAGAGAGGGGTATTTACTTGTTATTATTGTAATCCATTTATGAAGCAACCACCAACCCAACCGTCCTTCCTCGCCAAATGACCAAAGTCTCTTGCTCTCTCTCACAGACAAACTTCTCACTTCTCACCAAAAGTAGCCGTTACAGAGAGACCGATTTACTCACTATATATATTGCATTTTTCACTCTGCTGCTTGAGATGCGTGCTTTCTGTCTGTGAAGAGACGAAGTAAAAAGCGGCCGACCCTCTGTGTTTCTCTCTCTCTTCTATAAGGAAGTTTTCATATATAGACATGGAAATATCACAGAGCACGCTTTTACTCCATGTGGACCCGCCAAGTCCGTTACTCGTGGGATTACCCTCAATAAATACTAATTTAGTTTTTTTTATTTATTTATTTTTTGTCCTGTTGACTATATTTTGGTCGCTGTTTTAATCACACTAGTCTCTCCACGCATGCTTCCACACTTTTAGAATTAAAAAAGATAAGGGTAGTTGTGTTCTATAAAAATAGAATCTATTATCTGATTTTTCTTTTAATTTTAATTTTTTTAATATGAAAAAGTGTAAATTTACCATATTATTTTAATTTAATTAATAATTTTAATTCTTACTATTTGTATTAACCAAACTCATTTTCTGGTATTTCGAATATTTCACAATTCTCTACCTTTTGCTTTATATATATATAAGATATATGTCTTTGTTTTGACAAAAAATTTGTCACCTAAAAATTCACCATTAGATTTGATGTTCAAATTTTGATGAAGGTTGATTTTTATTTTTGATGTTGGTGACCATATATTTATAGTAATTGAGATTATTGGATCAAAGCTTGTCTTTTTTTTTATATATGTTTCCTGATTTCCTACTATAATGAGTATGTAGTTTTGTTAGTTTCTTATTTCTCGTGTCTCTGCTGACGATGACATTTTTGAGTGTGACGATCATCCTATCGAGGTAATAAGCATAGGAGGTCTTTACTTGGGTTGGGATCATGTTGGGCTCGCATAATTACTTTCATTTGAATTGGGCTGCTATCTTGTCCATGGATATGAAATTTAAATATAAATGAAAAATGTAAAGACGAATAAATACAAAATAATAAAGATCAATTATTAAGTTTCTTTTTTAATCGCGATAAAAAGAATATGGAGGATATTTCTATAATTAAAAAATGTTAAATATTAAAAAAGATTGTGTTTTACTTAATTCATCAATTTAATTCATGTATTTTCTATTTGGCTAGTTTAATTCATGTGTTTGTCTTCGTTAGTCAATATATTGAAGAAAAATAAATTTGTGCTGGAATACAAAGAAAAAGGAATAAATAGAAGGCATACAAATGATGTGTATGTTGGGTCCATTATAATTTCTTTAATTTTGGAAACGTTGTCTATATATCTTTTATATTATTGATATTGCATGCATTGAACATAAGGTTTCATCCTTAATAGTATTTAGAGTCATCAAAACTTCCCTAAATTTTATTAATGTAACTTTTTGGATGATTTGGGTGTCTTGAGAATTATTCTTTCATTATAACATGCAAAATACAATGACATGGGCCTTTACACTTTTTGTCCTTGTCAATTAGCCTTGATTTTTAATGTTTACTTGATCCAAAGTCATGAAATTCATTAAAGTAGTGTGTTCGCCTCTTTGCACCTGAGTTTGATCCACCTTGCCGTAATTAAAGTAGTTTAAAATATATATTTGTAAATAAAAAAATGATCATGTCATTCATTGGTTTTTTTGGTCAATTTTAGTGCACATGCAAAAGAATTCTAAACTTCCGTTGCGAACCAAGGCCCAAGGGCCCATTAGGTACTAGGGCTCCAAAAGAACCAGAAAGAACAAGAGGCCCAACTTACGACTGAAGCAGAACAACTCTGCAACCCAAGATCTACTCGCTCGGTGACATATTTCGTCACTGAGCACAGAAACGGTAAAAACTGCAGAGGAATTAAACCAGTTGCTGGCTTTCTTTGCCTTTCGGCTCTTTGATTGGCAGAGAAGCAATTAGTAAGCCATTTCATTTCTTTCATAAATTCCCAGGAGATCCAAACACAAACAACCATTCGGATCCGACAAAATGAATATATTCAGATTAGCGGGTGACATGACCCACCTGGCCAGCGTCCTCGTCTTGCTCCTCAAGATCCACACAATCAAATCTTGTGCCGGTACGACAATCCCATCTTCTTTTTCTTGTTTTCTCTGTATGTATGTTTCTAATTGAAATACTTACCAAGCAATGCATGTTCTTGCATACTTGCATTCATATTCTGTGTTGAATGAAACCCAATGAAGATTTGAAGTTGCAATTCAATTCGATCATATGTGAAACTCTGTCTAACATTTTATTTGGTGGCCTAGATAGCTAGAATGAATCATTTTCAGTTGAATTTTGCTGAAAATAATATTGGGTTCTGAGCTCGAACTTATAATCCAGCTGACAGTGGAAAAAGGCCAAAATGTTGTGTTAGTTTACTAATTTTGTCCTAAAAGCCTCCTTTTTTTATTTATAATTTAGAGGGCTAAAGTTGAAATCTTTCTTACCATTTAATATTTGGGTTTATAGGGTATTGGTTTGCTGTTGCATCTTGCTAGTACCAACATTGGCTAATGTGTTTCTTTGTATGCAGGTATTTCTTTGAAGACTCAAGAACTCTATGCCGTTGTTTTCGCTACCCGCTACTTGGACATTTTCACTGATTTCATATCTGTATATAATACCATCATGAAGTTGATATTCTTGGGGAGCTCATTTTCGATTGTTTGGTACATTAGGCAGCACAAGATTGTTCGCAGGTCCTATGATAAGGACCAAGACACCTTCCGCTATGTTTTTATTGTGCTGCCATGCATATTCTTCGCCCTAATAATCAATGAGAAGTTCACCTTCAAGGAGGTTCGTTTGCATATCTTTTAGTTGCTGTTTAGAGAACTTCTGCCAGAAAGATAGCTGCACCTTCTTCTCTCTTATTTTATCTTTCTTATATGCTCTGTAATGATATGGATCAGGTCATGTGGACATTTTCATTGTATTTAGAAGCCGTTGCTATACTTCCTCAGCTTGTGCTGTTACAGAGAACGAGAAACATTGACAACTTGACTGGGCAATATGTATTTCTTCTTGGGTATATTTTTCTAAACAACTTTGTGATTTGCCATACCATATCAAATTGTTAGTTCTTTACTTTCTTAATAGTTAATGCGTAGCCATGATAGTTGGTAGCTTCTTCTTAGGTAAATACTTTTCCTAAGTTAAATGCTGTTTCCATTTTTCATAGTCGTTAGGCTTGGAAGTATCCTCTAGAACAGTGTCATTTGAAAAAAATAATCTCGTGCAACTTGTTACCTACGAGATGTTTATCTATGCTAGATGTGCCTGATGATATACTTATTTGGTGCTCTTTCAAAAAAAAAAAAAAACCTTATTTGATGTTTGTGTTGATGTGCTCAACTATTTTTGCAGAGGATACCGAGCGTTATACATTCTCAACTGGATTTACCGTTACTTCACTGAACCACACTATGTCCATTGGATACGTATGATTCTCCCTCTCTATCTCATTGTATCTATGCCCTGTGTGTGTGTCCCGTGTGCATTCTCTCGCATTTTTTCTGTTTCCATTATTTTATAGAGATGTTGTGATGGATGTATCGAATGCACGCATACTTCTTTTGATGTTACGTCGAATGCAGGCAGTATATGAAATGTAACATATCACATAAGCATGGCACCACAGAGATTTCTTGTTTCTTCTAAAGGTTATTATGAACCATCAAAATATGAACTTAACTTTTTGTTAGTGTTTTTAATTATTTCCTTGTTTGAAAGTGGTGAAGTTTGATAACTCTATCTAATATGTTGAGCATAAGCCTTAACATGTTCTGAGATCGCATACCTCATATTACACTTCTGATCCTGCATGGAGTAAATTCAGTCCCTTAGGCACCAGTAGCCTTGCATGCATGATTGTCAGATTGCCTCAGTTAGCTTGCACCTTACTCTAGTTTAGCGGCCTGGCTTCTTTTGAAACTGAAGAGGATCACCATCTTTTAGGCACCACATCCTCCATATGTTTCAACATTGTCCGTTCTAGTTTGACTTGATGGACTACTGCTTTCCACCAGAAACTATATGCTTATGCTCTTTGTTCTTTGTTCTTTGGTTTTTGCAGCATGGATTGCCGGGATTGTTCAAACACTGCTATATGGTGACTTCTTCTACTATTATTTCCACAGGTAAATATTCCCATTGATAAATATGTATTCAATTTTTGGTGATTATTTGTATTTATCTGAGCCTTTCCTCATTTATATTATATAATCATATGATTTGCAGCTGGAAAAACAACAAAAAGCTCCAGCTACCGGCATGAGTTCGTTCAACCACCCTTTACTCAGAGCTCAGTTTAGCTTTTCATTCATGCTCTTAGGATATGCAAAAGGATTAGATACGTTGCTCAGGATATATGCTTATTATTGGACTGTCAAAACTCTGTGTTTTTGCCGTCTACACTGTTATCATGTTTCACATGGCTTCTCAAAGCAACAACTGCTTTCAGTACTTTAGGAACATATACTTCTTAGAATATCATGTTTTGGAGTCATGATATATAATACTTCTCAGGCTTCTCAGAATGTTTTACATGTGTGTCATGAAATTCAATCTTAACCGCAATATTTATTTCAATATTCGAGGTTCCCATTAGCCAAATACAAAGTCGGAAAAACACATCTAACCTAACACAAAGAAACCTCAAATTCACATACATTTTCTTTTAAATATAGATTGAATGCTCCCTAGTAAGAACAAAGTATAAGATTTACCCAACTTGCAGTTCATGAAAAAAAAAAAACCAAGGTAGAAGATTTCACACCCACCCTCCAGTTTGGTGCAGCATTGCATCAATCTCATCACCATCTTCCATCTCCAGCTACCAACCCCAAAAGAAAAAATGTGAGATGCAAATTCAATTCAAATTGCCAAATATACATTGCTCAAATTTTGGGAATAACTCAAAATCTAACCTCCTCTGGAGTCTGCTCTGCCCGGAGCCTACGGCCGTCAAACAAGAAGGCAATCGAGTTCATGTCGACAGACTGCCGATCACAGTAAGCAGTCATGAGCTTCTTCAACTGGGTGCTTTGCTTGATTCTGAAGAAAACCTCATTGCCATCCTATAATGCAACAAAAAATCATCAGAAACTTATTCTCAAAATTAGAATGGCTGATAAGGATGGTACTTATTCTAATAAAAATAAGTTTCGCTTTGCAAATAAAAATAAGGAATAAAGAACAACAAAGCAAACCATTTAACTATAATTCAAATAACTGGAAACAGGGGATGCAAATAGAAGACTCTGTTTCTCAGTAATTAAACTGGTCTCATTCAAACCAACCAGAATCAATCTCAAAAAACATGATTAGAAGTAGAGAATGCAAACAAAAAATTACTCAGTGCCACCCCAACTTTCTCAAGCTTTCTCAGTAACCAAACAGGTATCAACGCAAAAACCCAAATCCCATTTGAAACCAACCAGAATCAATCCAAAAAAACATTAACAAGCACAAAAAAAACATGATTGGAAGTAGAGAACTGAAACAGACGACCATGTTTCTCATAACATAATAAATTACTCATAAGCATAATTGTTCAACCAACTTGGTAGAACAGTAACAAAAAATCACTCTCAGTGCCACCCCAACTTTCCCAAACTTTCTCAGTAACCAAACTGGTACCAAAGCAGAAACCCAAATCCCATTTAAACCCAACCAGAACCAATCTCTCAAGAAAACATAACAATCACCAAAAATTTTATTTAAAAAACATGAACGTGTCAAACATTGTGAACATACAACATAATATATACCTGACCCTTGACTTTGAGGTTAATGTGGGCTGACTGATCCCCAGGTTTCTTCTCTTCCCCCTGACCATCACCACCTCCTGTTGCAGACATCTTCTTACAATGTTGCTTTCTCTCTCTCTCTCTCTCAAGCAATGGAATTTTCTATTTGGAACACAGATACAAAAATATCTGATGCTTCACAGTTATATATAGGTAGGCCTTGTGTTTTCTCTTCTCTTCCCTCTTGGGTGGGAAGTTTTGTGGAGAATAAACTGAATTTGAATATATTTTGGATTCCGGGAACAAAAGGGAGGAGAGGGAAAGGGAATCGCCGTTTGTGGCTATGAAAGGTAAAAGCCGTGCGGAATCAGAACTGACGGCTGAAATTGATTGGGGAGGAATCTGACGGATGAGATTGAATGTGTGTGAAAGTTTTTGCGGTGGGATTGAATTCAGAAGTCATTTTCTTGCTTTTTTTTTGGCCTTTTTGTCTGGGTGATGTGTACTTTCTAGCTGGAAAATTCTGATTGGAGTGGATTCTTTTTATTTTGATCTTATCCGTTAAAAAAGTCAAAACCGACTGTGACTGGGCTTCCTGGGTTTGGATGAGCCTACCATTTTTAAGCGAGCCCAAGGTAGAATTTTACTTTCAAGTCAACATAGCCCAATTTAGACTCAGAAATTTTATTGACACCCTTCACACTTTCTTTGAAACCACCCAACTCTAATTTTTTTTTTCTAAACCGAGTCTAGCCCCTCGGCTATATTATTTATATTTTTTAAAAATGACCCCTGGAAAATACGTGCCACGTGTCAAAATCCGCCTAGCCGCCCGGCTATACTATTTTAAGAAACATTAATAAAACCGGGTATAGCCGGTCGGCTATACTTAAAAAATATAGGACAAAGTACAGCCGCGCGGCTATACAATTTTTAAAAAAAATCCATGTAGTGAACAGGTGGTTACGTGTCAAAATAGTATAGCCGCCCGAGTATAACCGCACGGCTATACTATTGATATAAACAAAGGATGCCATGTTATGTGTAAATAGTATAACCGCTCGGCTATACTATTTGTAACAAGATAAAAAAAAGCATAGCCGTATAGCCGCTTGGCTATACTATTTTTTTTTTTCTCTTTCCTGCACTTCCCTCCTACATTACGATTTTGGTAACTGAAATTAAGAAACGTTAAATAAAACCAACAAAAAAAAAAAAAAAAACCCTAAGCCCACCCATTAATCCCGTCGCCATTCCCTTCCAAGCAATCACCAGCCCAACCCCCACCCCAAAACCCAGCTACACCGGTCAACTTCCCCCATCCCCAGCCCCATCCATCTAACCTCTCTCTCTCTCTCTCTCTCTCCGTCTATGTCGCTCTCTCGCTTTCAGAAATCATTCAAATATGGATGGGTTGGGTTCAATTTAATTTGTTTCTTGGAATTGTTATGAATTTTTCTAGTTGTATGTTTGATTATTTGTTTAGGGTTTGAGTGATGTGAGCAAAGATTGGGGCTGGGATCGCACTAGTTTGGTTGCAAGATTGGGGGTCTGGGAAGGTGGGTGTGGATGGGGGCGAATTGATGTCGAGTTTGGGTGGCTTGGTTGATGATTAGGATGGCTGGGTGGATGAGTTGGTGGCGCCTTGGAGGAAGCAGTCGGGCTGGTGATCAATCCAAAGGTCCAAAATTAATGAGCCATTTCTAACATTATTTTAAAAAAATCAGTGGCAAGCCATGCAGTTACAGGAACAAGAATAGGCCAAAACTAAATTGAATGGTGAACCAAATATATTTCTGACTGTCCGTGTCAATTAATGTTAACTATGCACGATCAGCTGAGAAATATATAAACTTCAACAGCTGTTATAAATTTGCAAATTTAAATTCATCCATCCATCTATACAGACGATAGTCTAAACTACACACACGGGTACGAATGTGAGATCTTTTGTCTGCAAGTCAATGTCATTTTCCACTAGACTATACCTTGTTAACTTAATTAATCTATTTAAACAAAAAGGAAAGTATTTATATCATATCGCTGCCCACATGGTTTCTTATTAGGTTTTTTCAAGTGCAATTATATATAAGCATAGTTCTTGATATATTCTGTGCCTCTGTGGCATATGTTTAACATAATCAACATCGGAGCCAAAAAGCAGTCAAACTCAAATACCTCAAAGGACTCTTCATTTTTATTTTAAAAACAACTTTCATTATGAGGTTCGTAATTAGGTATAATTCATATGAACGAGTCTCGATCATCTTTTAAAGATGTGGCCAATAAGTTACAAAATCCAAATTAGATGGTAAAAACCTTATCAAAATGCCAATCACCAAATTTCTGAATCCAGATATGAGCCAGTGCATTCATTTCTACCAATATCGGGCAAGAACAATAGCTACAGTACCCAAATCGGGCCTGCATCCAGTCTCACATACACGGTGGATACTATAACCCCAGTGCATCCTGTGGTTAAGAGCCCCAGTCATGCATCCTACAGATGCAGGGAGTTCATACAACCTCTACATTTTTCTAGTCCTCTGCATCAAAGTAGTTTATTTTTCTACCTGCTGTTATATAATCATCATCATTGTATTGCTGCTCACATGCACATAAGTGCAGTAGCCAATGTTCATATACATAGGAATTTGTTAATACTGTAGTAACTACTGTCATGAAAGTGAAATACCTAAAGGAGAGCTCCTAGAAGAAAACAAGAGCCCTGTCAACATTATATTCTTCTTTAATACATTATAATATAGCGTGATGGTGTGTCGATGCAGGGCCAGCTAAAACAGAAATTTCTAATAGTACGATAGTCACCATTGTGCCAGAACCAACAATTATAACTGAACCAGCTGATACCAAAACTTTTGAAATCCTCAAAAGCATTGTATATGCTTTTATATCCAGCAGAGACCAATTGTATCAAGTAGGGTAACATTTTGACAAATCCTGGTTCCATTTGCTCTAGTAACAATTTCAGATCAAACCCTGAATGCATCAAACAGAAATCAGTCACAACAGACACAGTAGTGGACATTGATAAATCTTGGCTCCATCTCTAACTAAGCAACACACAAACTTGTGGTAGTCAACATTTCCTTCATCAAAATTTTACTGCCAGTTTTATCTTTGTTACGCTCAATATATTTACGAGAGCTATTGCTCTATAACTAGGAAGATGGCTGCAATAGTGTACAAGAAGAGGCAAGAGGCTTGTGCACAACTGAATTTGAACAAACTGAGATAGGAATTCCCTCCAAGTGCAACATGATGCTCCCCAGGATTTCAGTCAATATCTTCTTGAACTCGTCTTCTTTGAGCAGCTTTCCATCATCTTCATTCACCAAGTTGAACGCATCCTGCACAACCTTGTCCATCTGTAAGTCATGGGACATGTTGCATTAGTCACTCGCTTGGACAGGCATAAGTTACTAATATTTGTTGAATAGGTTGTTTGAGTTCATAATAACATAGGTAATTAACAAAGCACCTGCTCAACTACACCAAGTGATGGCAGACCAGCCGGTGGAGCCACCACATCCAGCGCCACACGCAAATATTCCTTGGACAGTTTCCCACTGTGGTCTTTTGGCACGTTTTCAATAGCTGCATTCAGCGACTGCATTTCACAATAGACTGAAATATAAGGGAATTCAATATGTATGGCACTCTAAGCAGAAAATAAAAATGCATACTAAAAAAGTATGAATTCACACATGATTAAGTATGCAAATGGCCAATGACAAAAAGAGAAGGCATCTTTATGAGACAGACCTTGTCTAATTCAAACTTGTTGGACAACAGTCTCTTAATGCCACTTCCATCGAAGTCAGTTTCAATGTGGGCTATATTCACAGACTCTTCCTTAAGACGTTGAGCCACAGACTCTGCCACTTTCTTAAACTCTATGAAATTTCCTTGTGATACAGGCTCGTCAAAATCATGGCCAGTGCATGATTCAAGAGCAGGTTCCACGATATTGCTAATAACCTAAAACACGAAAATAACCATCAAAGAGGGAAACACATAATAAGCACTCCAGAATGAAGATTCCAATGCAACTCTTCTAGGTTCTACAACCTACAATAATGTGGCGCGGACATGTAAATTTATATGATGATATGATGTCACCAACACTTTGGCTCCTTTGCAGCATGTTCATTTATAAATTCAGTAGCAAAATTTAACGTAATTTTTATTCCCTATATCCAATTATAGAATTGTTAGTAAATGTTAGTTGGAGAAGATCAGCTACCCAAGAGTCTGATGAAGGGGGCATCCCTTGCTCAACTGTGAGTTTTTCCAAAGCTTTGGCTATATAGTCACGGAGGGTTACACTTCCATCAGCTGACTTTATCTCAGAATACGTGACTACCATCTCTGATTCAAAAATTGGCCCATTGATGAACTTCTCCATCAATACGGAGGATCACAATAGGGTCTCTCTTCAAACCAGCGGCCATGCCTAACAGAATATCTGAAACAGCCTCTTTGTACTCAGTCTTGCTCACTTTTTGTTTTATTTTTTAGTGCAAAGGAATTAAATCTGTGGATCAAATGACTTTAATACATCTAAACAAATTGGCACATGATAGTTACCGTTAAAAGAAATCAAGTTAACTGTCTTTCTTTCTCATGATTACACAATCTACTATGTTTGCTAATATGGATTCTCCACCACTTTGTCATTCTTACTGTTGAAAAAGGTTCTTACTGCAGTTGATCAATGATAACAAGGAAATTTCAAAGAGGAGTTTAAGAAGAGATATACCCCTATGGGAAGGCCTTCACCTCGTCAAATTCGAGCATATCACTAGCCCTCTTCTCTTGACATCCTTCACTGGATTGGATTCCATACCGATTTAGGGGTTGTTCATGCACTATGCTTGTCTTTGTTCTGTATGCGTAATCCTTAGTGTTTTGTTTTTGGGTCTCTTCTTTCTGTGTGTGTGTGTTTATTTTGATGGCTTCTCTCATTTTCTTAGCAGCCACTTGATGGCTCAAGAGGCCCCAGTTCACCTAATAGAAATTCCAAAGGACATATTTCAATATATATGCCGGAAACTATCATTGGGTACACTCCAGCGATGCAGGAGATTGTCAAGGGAGTTTCAAGGAATTCCTTTTGAAACTCTCTAAAACCAACCTCAGTTTAGACACCCTACTGCTAGTACATGCACCAAGTAATAGGAATTATGAAGGGATATACCCCTCATGGGGAGGCCTTCACCTCGTCGAATTCGAGTATATCACTCCCGTGAAAATTGAGGGTCAAGTTCGCCGAGAATTGGAGCATTTCAGTCCCATACAAATTAAGAGTCAAGTTCGCTCATTTCCCACAATCGG